TGACAAGTCAATCTCAATGTGTTTGGTCCTCTCATGAAAGACAGGATTAGAACTAATATGAAGAGCGACTTGATTGTCACACACAAGTGTCATTTGAGTGACATCTCCAAATTGTAACTCTCTAAGCAATTGCTTGAGCCAAACAAGTTCACAGGAAGCCGAGGCCATAGCTCTATATTCTCGCTTCGCACTGGATCTTGCCACAACACTTTGTTTCTTACTTTTCCATGAAATCAAGTTACCACCAATGGAGACACAATATCCAAATGTAGATCTTCTATCTGAAGGAGATCCCGCCTAATCAAGCATCCGAGTAGCAAACAACTCTTGTATGGTTATTAGAAGCATATAACAATCCTTTTCCAGGAGATCCTTTAATATACTTCAAGATACGAATGATCGCATTCCAATGATCTTCACATGGTGAATTAAGAAATTGACTTACCACACCGATCGCAAAGGAAATGTCGGGACGAGTAACCGTAAGATAATTCAATTTTCCAACCAATCTTCTATACCGCTCAGGATCAGATATAGGCTCCCCCGATTTGGTAGAAGTTTAGTATTGGGATCCATGGGTGTATCAACAGACTTTGAACTCATCAACCCAGTTTCCTCCAAAATATCTATGGCATACTTCCTCCGAGATATAACAATACCATCATTGGACTCGTGCTACCTCAATACCCAAGAAATATCTAAGTTTGCCAAGATCTTTGGTCCGAAAATGGTGACATAGATGTTGTTTCAACCGAGAGATGACATGGTTGTCACTACCCGTAAGAACAATATCATCAACATATACTATCAAGTAAACACATCCAAGCACTCGAGTGTCGATAAAAGACGTAATGATCCGATTCACACCGAATCATACCAAATTGTTGAACAACCTTGCTAAACTTTCCAAACCAAGCCCTAGGAGACTGCTTTAGGCCATATAGGGATTTGCGAAGACGACATACCATCCCGTAAGACTCCCCCGAGCAACAAACCCAGGAGGTTGCTCCATATATATTTCTTCTTGCAAATCACCATTGAGGAAAGCATTTTTAACATCCAAGCTTGATAAAGAGGCCATTGTTGAAGAGCAGCCATGGCGATAAATAAACGAACGAAGCCATCTTTGCCACAGGGGAAAAGGTATCTCCATAATCCAACCCAAAAATTTGAGTATAACCTTTGGCCACAAGACGAGCTTTGAGGCGATCAATAGTACCATCGAGTCCAACTTTGATAGCAAACACCCACCTGTAACCAACAACAGATTTCCCAGACTGTAACGGGACCAATTCCCAAGTTCCACTATTATGAAGAGCACTTAGTTCATCTAACATGGCCTCGACGCCAACCAGGATGGGCTAAAGCTTCACTGGACAGCTTTTGGAATGGTCACGAAGAAATAGAGGAAAGACATGTATAAAAAGGTAATGACAATCGATGATAACTCAAAGCAATATAATGGGGAGAGGGATTACGTGTAGAACGAATACCTTTTCGGAGGGCAATGGGAAGGTCGGACTCATGTGTCGATCCGGAGGAGACAGAGTAGTTGGCACTTGAGTAGAGTCACATGGTGGTGGTTGTGATTGGTTTCGAGAACTATAAATCGAAGAGGCAAGTGGAGAAGAAGCTAATCATGGAGCAGGAACTAATGGTGAAGAAGACACAATTAGAGGGTCACAAACAACAGGAACATTAAATGTATTAGGAGTGTTGACAAGATTGGATGGAGACAGAGGTGAAGTTTGACTTTTAAAATAAAGAGACAACTCATCAAAGGTGACATCTTTTGACACAAAATAACGGTTAAGAGAAGGAGAAAAACATTTGTATCCTTTTTGTGATCTTGTAAACCCTAAGAAAACACATTTATGTGATCTAGGAGAAAGCTTGTCCGGACTCGAACCGAAATTATGAACAAAACATGTAGACTCGAAAACTTTCAAAGGTAAAGGATGAAGTGGTTCATGAGGGAATAAAATGGAATGAGGTATTTTATTATCTAAAACCGAAGAAGGCATGCGATTAATGAGATAACATGCAGTAAGAAGAGCATCACCCCAAAAATGTTGAGGAACATCTCCATGAATTAAAAGTGTGCGAGTTGTTTCAATAAGATGTCTATTTTTACGTTCAGCTACACCATTTTGTTGAGGTGTATAAGCACAAGAAGTTTGATGCAAAATACCGTGAGAAGCCATGAATTGTTTAAAAGAATGAGAAAGATATTCACTGCCATTATCACTACGCAAAACTCTAATAGAAACACCGAACCGAGTTTGAATTTCATTAAAAAAAGTTTGAAAGATATGAAATAATTCGAACGATTTTTCATCAAAAATAACCAAGTGCATCCGGAATAATCATCAATGAAAGTAACAAAGTATTGAAAACCTAAAGTAGACTTAACGCGACTAGGTCCCCAAATGTCAGAGTGAACCACGGCAAAAGGGGACGAAGCACCACGTGTGAAACTACGAGGAAAGGAAGTACGACTATGCTTGCCTAATTGACATGACTCACACGCCAAACTAGATAAGTTAGACAAGGCAGGGACAAGTTTCTGTAACTTGGCAAGACTTGGATGACCTAACTGAGCATGAAGAAGAGAGGGAGACTCCATAATTGTACTAACATGTGTAGAGGGACTGGAGATAATAAAGATCATGAGACTCACATCCCGTGCCAATCACCTGTTTTGAACTCCGGTCCCGTAAACACACGAATTATTGGTAAAAGTAACAACACAATCAAGAGAACGAGTTAGACGACCGATGGACAACAGGTTAAAAGGAGACCCAGGGACATAAAGAACATTATCAATGGTTAAAGAAGGAAAAAGTTTAACCGTTCCAACACCATGAGATGATACTCTAGAGCCATCACCGAGTGTAACGAAGATAAATGATTAGGAGAGGATAAAGAGGAGAACAAAGATTTGTTACCAGTAATATGATTAGTGGCTCCTGAATCAAAAACCCAAGGACCAGGAGAAAATGATTGGGTCGGACCAAGAAAATATGTATTTGTATGTGTGACAGATATAGTGGAACTAGAAGACTGTTGATCCTTATACCATTCGAGAAATTTGTTGAACATAGCGGACATGTCTGGATGCAACGAAGAAGGAAGATCCCTACGGATAAAGGTGGGGAAAGATTGGTCTCGAACAACTACAGCAGATCGAGGAGGACGACCATGTAATGTATAACACTTGTTAATCTTGTGACCTAGTTTGCCACAATGTTCACACTTAGGACGCCCTTTTTCCTCGTTTGCGAGGGCGAGCCCTGGTCATCACGATGAGATGTCAACACAAAAGAATCGTTAACAAAATTGGAAATAGTGGAAGAAGTCATGAAGAGCGGGAGAACAAACCCCGACCGAGACAAGCAAAATCATATGTCACCGGTAAAAAAATGAAACTCCGGCGAATTCTCCGACAACGGCGGACCCGGTGATCGCTCCAGCGGCAGCGGTGATGAGTAACGTGAACTAGTACACTAGGTAAGTTCCCAAGAAAGAGAGGTGGGTCACTAATGGACACACTTAAATACCAAGTCTTTCCTTGCCGTAACTTTCCTAAACATGCACTTTCACACTACCAAATAAAATTCAATGACAAAGATAATTCTTTTCGATGTGGAGGATCAGCTTACCAGCAGTGGTGGGCGGCTTTAGCAACGGTGGGGCGGCTCTAGCAGCGGTGGGCGGCTCCAACAAGTGGACAAAAGGCGGAAAAAAAATTCAAGATAACCTTAAGCTCTAGATACCATGTTGAATGTAGAGAAAATATGGTTTGGAATTAATTTTCCTTGTGTATAAATCACACATAGGGTGATCTATTTATAGTAGAGAAATACAACTAAAAGAGTAATCGAAAGTAACGTAATAAACAGAAGATATTGTTTGATATTGTGGTTACCAATATCTAACAATATCTTAACAATATCAAATAATATATAAACAATATCTAACAGAATGCATTTTTTATTTTTTTTAACGAATAACAATTTCAAATATATAAATTATATTTTAAGACATTAAAAAAATACTTTTTATTATGATACAATATCTTTTAATAATTAGTTTTTTTTTCATTTAAAAATATTAACATTTAATTTTAAAAATAAATAATATATTGATACATAAAATGTTAAAAAAACTTCTAAAATATTAGCATGAGAATAACTTTGAAAATATTTTATTTAATGTTAAATTAAATGAAGAAGAATATTTGTGTAACTTCATGAGATGATAAACACATATTATTATTTATAACTCTTAGATCATTAAAGATATTAATTTAATACCATGTGAATAAATTTGATACTGATTACAAAATAATATTATATATATATATATATATATATAATAATAATAATAATAATAATAATAATAATAATAATAATAATAATAATAGTTATGGAAACAAGATGTTGGTCATAAAATTTATAAAAGCCAATTATTCCATCATTATAATTATTATTGATAAAGGCCCCTTATTTGTGTTAGTTTTGTGACTTATTTAAACACCACCAATATTTAATTTCATGGAACGAAATAGAAGAGTCAAAATATTATTCATAATTTAAATCTTAATTATATTTTTGAGATAACAATCAGTTAAGAAAGTTATTCTAATTTACATGAAAATTGATTTATTTGTCTTTGTTTTTAATTGAATTTCAATATTGTTAAAAAATATTAAATATTTAATAAAAATATTTGTTTATTATAATTGACCTAGAAAGAAACCTTTATCTATGTAATTAATTCTATGGGTGTCCATGGGGTTGGGCTTGAGAACAAAAGCCCAAAGGAGGTTTGGGCCCTGACAAGGGAAATATCGGAATGAGATAGTTTGTAAGAAAAATATCTAATGCAAATGTTGTTATGAACGTTGATTGAGATTAGATTCATTTACGTAAACAAATGTCATTTTGTTGGTTCCTTGGTCTGGTCTGGGCATTCGCGTTGTGAAGAGCAGGTAGGCAATGGATCCATCACTTCCTTCTTTGTTATATTCTCTCAAAACTTTTTTTTTTTTTCTATTTTTTTTTTCTTTTCACCTCATTCAATCAATCACCACTCTATTGGGTTTTGGTTTATGCATAATTTCGCTTTCCCTATTGTTCTTCACCGCCTATTCTTTCTCCAATCCCAATTCAATTCATCACATAATGAATCGATCCTTCACCCCTTTCAAATTTCGGCTAGATCTATTCCTTTAGTATTGTGTTCTTCTAATGAAATAGAGATAACCGACAGAGCAACAGACACGCGTGATGTATTTTCTATATTGGATTTTTGGAATTTTAATTGTTGGTCATTAGTATAGACGAGTATGAGATGAAAATTTTACCTTGCAGTAAATTTTAAATTTTTGCAGAGGATGGATAACATACCAGAGCACATAGTATGGGAGATATTGAGTAGGATGAAGAAAACAAGCGACAGAAACGCTGTTTCTCTTGTTTGTAAACGGCTTTATTACATGGACAATGCACAGAGGCATTGCATAAAGGTTGGGTGTGGAATGGATCCTGCAGATGAAGCTTTGACCTGTCTATGCGTAAGGTTTCAGAACTTGTCCAAAGTGGAGATTACATACTCTGGATGGATGTCCAAATTGGGAAAACAATTGGATGACAAGGGCCTTCTCATTCTTGCAAATTACTGCCCTCTACTCACTGATCTCTCCCTCAACTACTGCACATTTATCACTGATGTTGGTCTCCGTTACTTGGCTTCTTCTTCCAAGCTCTCATCTCTGAGGTTAAATTTCACTCCAAGGATCACCGGTTGTGGCATTCTCTCTCTTGCTGTGGGTTGCAAGAACCTCTCCAGGCTTCACCTTATCAGATGCCTTAATGTGAGCAGTGTGGAGTGGCTTGAATACCTTGGCAAGCTTGGAACTCTGGAGGATCTCTCCATTAAGAATTGCCGGTCCATTGGTGAAGGGGACTTGATTAAGCTTGGACTTGGTTGGCAGAAACTAAGAAGGTTGCAGTTTGAAGTGGATGCTAATTACCGATACATGAAGGTCTATGATCGGTTGTCTGTGGATAGGTGGCAAAAGCAGCATGTGCCTTGTGAGAATATGCTTGAACTTAGCCTGGTGAATTGCATCATCAGTCCTGGGAGAGGGCTTGCTTGCGTGTTGAGGAAGTGCAAGAACTTGCAGAAAATTCACCTAGACATGTGTGTTGGGGTGAGGGACTTCGACATTATTTGTTTGTCCCAAAGATCAAGTGACCTTCAATCGGTTTCATTTAGAGTTCCATCGGATTTTTCACTTCCCTCATTGGTGAATAATCCATTGAGATTGACAGATGAGAGTCTGAAATCCTTGGCTCAAAACTGCTCCAAGCTTGAATCAGTGAGGATATCTTTTTCTGATGGGGAGTTCCCTTCATCATCCTCATTCACGTTGAGTGGAATACTTTGTTTGATTCAAAAGTGCCCGGTTCGGCAGCTTGCCCTTGATCATGTTTATTCCTTCAATGATGTTGCACTGGAAGCCCTTTGCGCAGCAGAATATCTTGAAACTCTTGAACTGGTAAGGTGCCAAGAGATTAGTGATGAAGGACTACAGCTTGTGAGCCAGTTTCCCAGATTGTGTATCCTGCGGTTAAGCAAGTGTTTGGGGATCTCTGATGATGGATTAAAGCCACTTGTTGGATCATTGAAGTTGGATTTCTTGGCCATCGAAGATTGCCCTCAAATTTCTGAAAGAGGTGTCCAAGGAGCTGCAAAGTCTGTGTCTTTCAGGCAAGACCTATCATGGATGTACTGAACCTGTTGGGGGGTTTTAGGGATATGAAGTTCGTAGTCATCTTTTACCACCTTACGTGCAGTCTTGGCTATCTTCAATGCTACTCTGTATCTATATTCCGTATATCAACATCACAGTGTCACACATGTATTAGATTATTCTGTTGTTGTATTTATTTTGTCCATGTGATTGATCAAATAGGCTTTTATTTTATCCAACAAATGGTTCCCACATTTATGAAATTTGAACTTTTTTGTAACCTGTAAGTTGTGTAAATTATTTATCTTTGGCTCGTATTGACAGCTCTAGAGCCTTTACTATTGTTATGCAAATGTACTGAAGTGAATGCTGAAATGTTCACCGGAAATCTAGGCATTTTCGTCTCTGGACAAAAATGTGGTAATACTTTTTTTATTTTTTCTGAACTATGTAACATCTGTTTGATTTGTTTTCTAATATTTATTGAATTTTCTTATATTCAAGTCCATCTAAAAGTACAATTTTTTTATGAATCCAATCTTTTTATGCAACGAAAAAGAAGTGGAAACTCAAAAACACAGTTTATCTTGCATGTACAAGCTTTTCAAGCACGGAAATGACAGAATTTCAAACTGGATTTTACGCAGCATTCTTTGGGCATTTTCAAGTATTATACTACCGCCATTTACATGAAAGGGAAACAGGGATACCAAAGAATAATGAAAAGAATGACCATAAATTATTGATCCAAAGTGACACAAAAAGAGTGCATTATGTAGACAGATTTCACAATTCCCAAGTTTTGCGCAAGTTTCAACAGCACTATCATAGGAACATGATAAAAATATCATTATAGCATACTTTATTAGTCTCTTGTTGGAGCTAAGTTTGACCAACCCTTCATTTTATGGCTTATGCATATCAGAGAACCATACACGAAGAGGCCAAGAAATTGTAATCTGTGTATTTGATGCATCAATTTGTTGAAAGAGATTGTGTTTCACGGGGACGTTGAAAAAATTAAATAATTTTTAATGGTAGATGTTGTTCTATTTCTTCCCTAAAGAAATGGTTTCATCAAACTCTATCATTGGAGTGATTCTATCTGACATAATGAATTTCTTTCAATCCAGATCTTAGTCTTCTACGTTAAATTATTATGTAACAAGAAAATATAATATTTTATAGAATATAATTTAAATTTTAAAATTAATTTCCAACAACTCTTAATTTTTTTTACTAATCTTATAGTGTTAATAAATTTTCTTGCTGCAACAATAGTTTTCAACAAATATTGTTAATTTATTATAATAGTAAACAAAAATGTCATTCTTTGCAAACTTTGCCATCCAGTGTTTCTTTCAAAGTTGTGTAGTAAACTCAACGAGTGTTTCATGTTTCTCTCACCTCAAGTAGAAGGTTGTTTGTATTCGGTATAATTTCTAAAGCTTATCGCAAATTTATGATTCTCTTATAATCTATGATAAATTTTAATCAATAATAAAATATGTTACTAACATATTTTAAAATTAAAAAAAATATGATTTTGTAAGTCTAAAGATATTTTTTTATTATAAATTGAAATTATACAAATATAAATATTTTTTTTGTAAACTGAACTGCTCTTATTAATATCAGATATATATTGTAAATATTTTTAAAATGAATACATACTTTTTTTGGTAAAATAGTGAATCCAGCGGAAACCACCTTTTTACAAAGAAAATTCATGAAAAACAAAAATTTGTTAACTGAAAAATAATTTTAAGATGAAAAGAAAATTGACAAACGATGCAATTTTTTGCTTTAGGAAACATAAAAAAATGTAGTAGCGTGGAAAAAAAAAGGGATTCCACATATTCTGGTATCATCATTGTATGAAAAAGAGCGTAGGTAAATAAGTCAAACTTTACAAGGTAGTATATACACTGCCATGGTTGCAAAACCTCAGAGGACAAGGACCAATATTCTGCAATAATTTTATGAATTTTAAAATCTTATCATCTGGTAATAAGAATGTAACCAGACTAACAAATTAAATCTTCATCCTATCTCACACGTATTTTGGGGCTTAATCATGTTACTTTTATTTTACACTAAAAGTATATTATTAGTGTCACATGTTTTCATTCTTATAATCCTACTACGGTTCTTTACTTTAAACATTTTTCAAATATTCGACATTTTTTTTTAACTTAATTCAAATATTTAACTAAAAAAGTGAAGCAATTTAATGATAGATTGAATTATGTTAATAATAAAACTTCTTTATAATAATATTATTTACTTAAAATGGAATATATAATAAAACTCCTTTTAATTCTATATGTTGTATATAGACTCGATTTTTTCTTATCTATAAATCCATGAAAAAAAAAGTTGTTAAATTTTGATTTAATTAAAAATTCAAATTGATTAAAGGCTAAAATAAGCATATCATAATGTGTCCAATGAAGGCCCTTTCTTACAAAGGGATTTTATATATGTGCATATAATTTCACACTTATAAATAGCAAGCTAAAAACCAGGTTTAGTGAGTGACCAGAATCGGAAAACGTTACGTTCTTCAACGATGCATAATAATAAGCTTTTAAAGAGTCAACAAGAAACCAACTCAGGGTAATTCCAGGCAACCTCACCACAAGAACCAAAAACTCTTGAATTATCTATATAGAACACGTAATTACATTTATCAGAAAATATTTCTATCATAAAGGACGATCGAGGGTTGCCACAAAGAATTTTGGACAATGTAGAAACCTTTGAAGGAAAAAAAAATGGAACTAAGCCTGATCTGTAAGGATTTCTACACTACCCTCAGTTTCATGAATGAAAAAAGAAAGAAAAAAAAAAAAATTCCACATCTGCTTTGACCATGTGTGAAATGTGAATGGTTTAACATCTACAATTACATTAGCAAAACCTAATTTGTTAGAACTGACATATACCTTATACTATCACTATTCGGCATATGCAAGATGACGTCGGACAAACTTATCAGTATGCTGGATATCACTCGAGATCTTATGTTTTATTAGCTAAGCTAATTCAATGTATGGCATTGGCGCTGAAATCCTCATCAACAGGCAAATTTAGATCAGGGAGCACGAAAGTAGATTCTTGGTTACCATTCCCTTGTGCTTTGGGAGAAGCATTTGCTGCACAAACAGGTGAAACGTCATGTATGACAGTGTTTCGGGAGACGGAATCAGATGGATGACACTCTGACGTTGCAAACTGAGATGGGTCATTGACAGCTTTCCCACACACCTCAGAGGCCGCAGCAGCACCACTAGAGTTTTGCCGTGAAACAAAATCAAGCTGTTAAAAAAGGTAAAGACTTATTAGATTCTAATATAATGCCCCATATATCTACTAGATAGATTTATTCATCATTCAACAAGTTTTTACATATTTTAGTTACGGAAAGCACCAGTCATTCGCAGCTTATTATTATGTTAGGAATGTAAACTAAGAATTATGAAGAAGATAACAAGGTTACCTTCATTCTCTTTAAGCTTTCATTTGTGGTTTTATGTTTCTCAACAGTGACTCGCAAGGACGCCAGTTCCTGTTCCCAAATTCACAAAATGTTAGGTAAACAAACCATAAAAAATTATATCTCCGAAGTTAAAGGAACGAGACTCATGTGAAGCGAAAATAAACTATTTCTGAAAATAAAGGCAACATCTTACTTTTTTCAAACTTCTTCTTTCCTTCAACAACAAATCCTCCTCCTCTTTTAGTTCAGATAAGGTCTGCAGACACGACAAGCATTATGTGTAAGATATGTTAAGCAGGGAACTGAAAAACAGAAAGGGAAGATAGACAATTTTTAATTTATCCATTTATGAAAAAGGAAAGAAAACAGGTAAAACATGGGGCCACCGCGCTATTCAAACAGCTTAACATGTTACTTTCCAATTGCGTTTGCTGTGAAAACCAGTTAATATTGTAACTATACTACGAGCTAAAATACAGATACTTTTTCGCCACATCTAGACCCCCAACAAGCGATTGATTCAGTCACGGTCTTTAATATAGGAGAGAGGCCGAAAACACAGACAAAATTCACTTGTAAACTAGAAGTACAAAAATTATGCGATGGGTTGACCATGTAATCTTGGTTGCAGATCAATCAAACTTCGTTTTAATCCCAATCATTTGCAATTTGCTTTCAATGTCCTCAATGAAAACATTTAAACTAGTTAATTATTCTATTCAATTAACAACAATTCACCAACTAGTAAGGTCGCCAAATTTTAAGCACCGTTTATCACCTCCACTCATTGGTCCCCTCTCTCCCTAGGTTCTTCGGCCATATGAGAAAGAAAAATTATAACACCCTCCCCTGAGGGAAAAGATAAAGTGTAGGGAAAAAAAATGAAGAGATAAAACAAAAGATATGATACATGATATGATAGAAATGTAGAGAAAAATAAGCAGAGAAGCGGATGGGAGTGTGTTGTAAGAAAGTCAAAAGTATGTTTATAAGGAATGAGAATACATTGATATAGGAAAATTCGCGGCATAGATCCTATCTACACAAGTAGTTGGTCTAGACCAATCAATAATAGACAAGTTGCGTAGTCTAGATTTATATGATTATGTACTACAAAGTGATAGTGTTGATGATTTGGTCTGCCCAACTTTCCCAAACATGGTCTACAAAAGTATTTATCCTGTCATGAATAGGCAACCACCTAGCGCCCATCTATCTATCCTTGATTCATATTCCTATAATTCTGAAGTTCTTAAATAACATACAAATTTATATTCTTTCTTATCTAATAAAATATCATGATACACACGCATCACGGTTCCTATAATTAAGTGTTCCAGAAAAGTTAAATTTATGAAGCACTCCCAATTATTAGAATATTCGAAAATATGGACGGACATCGAGTCAAATTTACCTTTTTTCTTCTTGACTTTCTGGTAGTAACTGTTTCACTAGGATTAGCAACCTGCAAAATGCCAAATATAAGAGAAATCAGGATCCAGAAAAATATGGATTTATGGAGCGAAATAACATTAAAGACAAACAACACACTAAGGAGAAGAGAAAATTATTAAATCAGGTACCATCAGATCTTATTTTGGGGATTATTTTTCCTCAAAAATATAATCTGGCGGTCGTTATTGAACTTTTTGTTTGGTAGAGAAAAAAAAAACAACTTTTAAATTCGAGAGCTTTTTAAATATTATATTCTGCCTAATTCTAATTTTAAGAGAAAAAAAAATTGGGAAGAAAAAAATACCAAGTTAAACAGTATATTAGAGAAGATATATATAAGCAACAAATCAAACAGTGCCCGGGGTTTGAGAATGGTTATCAATTCATGACATCCGAAGAACCGGGGGCAATAATCGAGGAATACCCATATACTTTCCTATTTTAGGGATATGATACTTTTAATGTATGCCAGAAAGAAAAACTCAAAAGCGATACTAATAGACCTCAGAAATAAAAATGCATCTTATATAAAATGCTTTTGTGTCTACTAGTATAACAAAAATTAAGAAGAACATCCAAATCTCTTTTTTTTTACTTAAGTAATAACTAGTAGCACCACACTAGAGTACTAAATGCAGCATTAATTGAAGTGTACCATATTCTAATATAAGAAAATCCTATTTATACCTTACAATACATAGCAGTGGCTCCGTACCATCACAGCGATACAGAAAGATGCACGTTGTTCTGGGATGGATGAAGAAAGCTAGGATGGTGACATTGGGTATGGGTTGCGGGTGGCTAATGCTAAATTATTTGCATGCACCCGAAACTCCTACGCCAAATAATTAAAAATGTGTGTTTGAAAATGAAAGCAAAGGGTAGTCGGGTAGAAATTATTACACAACGCACACACAGCAAAGGAATTGACCCAACCCACCTATATGGTAACCATGTGGTCTCCAATGATTTTTCGTATGGGAGGTACCAAAATCGCTATAATCGTTGGTGCCATGTCACAGAGCAGAACGCCACCCCTTCTTTTCTTTCCAATTTCCTTGTCCTTTCTTTGCTCACTCTTTCTTCGCCTTTTTACTTTCAAAGTATTTATTTTGGACCCGAATAGTTCACACACGAGATAGATACCGCTCAATGCTTACCCCATTTCATTTATTTTCCTCACACGCTTAGACCACTCCATCCCCAAAATAAAACAATAACCACAGATTCTCACTACTCGCAGCCTGCCCCACCAAACACGAAAACACCGCTACTACTGTTAACAACATCAACCATTAACACCTTGTTCTTTTATGGGATAAAAGTTCCCAATCAAAAACTCCCATTTGCTCTTCGCTTTCGACAAAAAACAAAAAAAAGGGAAAATAAAAATCGCATTCCTACTTTTGACTTTTGCATTCACTATCTTATTATTTGACATGAGTACAGAGGGTTGCGTTGTGTTCAAACTGTGACGCGGATATCGTAACTGACATTTGTCAAATTGTCATCTTTAAATTAACTCACATGTGAAACGACGACGCACACCCAGAAAGGGAGTGGGATTAGTTAAAAATAATTACTACGAATAATTAATTATTAGTATTATTGATAATAGGAAAGAGAAGAGAGAGAGAGAGAGAGAGAGAGTGCGGGTGCAGGAAAAGTATGAATGGGGGCGACCACACAAAATACAAGTTTCCCACCCAACCGAACCCTACCCTTTGATCGCATCGTAATTATAAACACCAAAAAAAGCGCACAACCAGTCAACCACTACTAAACACTACACCAAACATTATGCAGTGGCAAAATACAGAGGAGAAGAAGCTATTATTTGCCACCAAAACACGCCACCAAAAAAACATGCCATTCCCACAATATTACACTATTACCCCCCGCAAATACCAATCTCAATCACCGCGCTTCGCACTAGAGTACGCCCAATAAAAAAGAAACAGTTGCAACTTCCTTCCGACAGGGGCGAAACACACACGAGAGACAAAATTGCCCTTTGAAGGAAGGGCCTTTTCGTCAAGTGCAGGGAGGAAAAAATGTGTGAAGAATAAGAAGAAGAAGAAGAAGAGTCATTCAAGCGAGCGCCTCTGACTGACTCCATGCGATGAATCAAAGTGTTAACTACTCTTATTTTAGATTTACAGCCCCCTTCAACTCGAACTTCTAGGAAGGAAGAAAGAAAATAAACAGAAACGACGACACCACACAGCGGCTCCGGCAAGGGTAGAATTGTAAATCCGACGGAGGCCAAACAATAGCGAAATGGAGACAAGTGCCACAGGCGCCTCGTGAATGCCATTTCGTCCATTCCAGATTCGAAGAAAAACTGCCACACAACAACCAACGTGCATACATACATACATACATATACATACACGTACATACATAGTTATAGTTATAGATATAGAGCCACACACACAAAAACAAAGACGAAGAAAAAAGAAAAACAGAGTTCGGTACTGGGCGTTAAACTCAGACACGACGAGACGTGAGCCACGCACGGACCCGAGCGTAACCGAAAAGCGAAACGAAAAATAGAGAGATAAGGAGAAGAGAATGGAACCGTAGATCTTGAGGTTTGGGGTAGATTGGTTAGGCGACTGGACTCCTCGTAGCCATCGAGGTTGCCGCCACTTGCTGACGTGGCTCCGCTCCAGGAGAGCGGCGTGGTGGGGCTGGCTCTTGTGGACTCGGGTTTTTTGTGAGCGGCGGCGGCGTGTCTGCGCACGGATCTTGAGCGGCGCTGACGAACTGTCCAGTGGAGGTGAAGAGAGAGCGGTGGCGGAGGAGAAGTGTGGTGGAGGCGGAGGAGAAGGTTGACGACGAGAGAATCGTCGGCCACTGCGAGGTTGACCCAGTCGTCGTCGCACATCTGGTGTGGATTGGAAGAAACAAGTGTGTGTGGGTGTGGCGGAAGTGGGTGTCGTTGGAATGTGAAATAGTATTAATAATGAATGAAAGAAAAGAACCAAGGAATAGCAGGTGCGGAAGGTTTATATGATACCCTTGTGCTGCATTTCACCACTCCTCACAAATAATAAATTAAATTAAATCTTTTAAAAATTGAAATATTTGTAATTTGTGTTGTTGTGTGGATCATTCCTGCGGGTCCCACCCTTGTTTCACGTGTCAACCAAACCTCAACTCTTGTGTTTTTTTTTTTTTTTTTAATCTTTTACCCATTTTCCGTGGGCAAGGCTGGCCCAATCATCGCAACACAAACCATTCTAATTTAAAACAAAATGTAAAACCATGCATTCATTCTTTTATGAGCATATGCATTACAATAGTATACATGGACCCATGAGTCCTTTTCAAAGTTCATGTCAATAACTATTTCATTCATATCAATAAAGTTTATGATTATATTTATGATGAGTTCATCAATTTTGTCAAACAAATTGGGTGGTAAAGTTAATTATTCATACAAACACATTAAATTACAGATGAATCTAACTGTTCAAATTATAATAAAATGTGTTTAGGATTACATTTTTTTTAAGTACATTGAATGGATAAGTAAATAATAATCATAATTTAGTACGCAATTTAACACGTGGTGGGGTGCACAATATTTTAACCTCCAACATTAGATGTGAAACAAGTTAATATTGAGCCTTCTTCTTTATAACAATGGAAAATCCACATTAAAAATATAAAATAAAGTATATAATATTTGGTAAAAAATTTTGTTTGGATAATTTTTTTAATGAGTTTTATGAGAAGAATTTACCATTTGTCATACAATAATCATTTATTTATTTTCATCCTTGAAGCATTTAAATTTATAACATTAAATGATCCTCAAATTACACTTTGTTTGAGTTAATGGCACTGGTTGATTCATGATTTTGGTGGTGGAAGGTTTTAAAACTGATTTTTATATTGTTATTTTCTTCACATAGTGTTTTATTAATTCCAATGTGATCATTATGTTATTATTATATAAAATTAATGGGAAATAGTTGTTAATAAGGTAGTGTGTACAAGACATGAAAAAAAGTGAGGGAGAAAAAAATAAATAAATAAAAAAGGATAAAGTAGAAAAATTTTGAGTTTCAGGTGTAAAAGAAAGTGTTGGTCCTTTGGAATGCCTCTTTCCCAAGATAAGAATCTGAATGGGAATTTCATTTCATTTTGTTTTATAATATTATATGGTTATTTTGTTCTATAATGTTTTTGTTTTGTTTTATTACTACGTTTTTTTTTCTCATACTTGATTTACTTAGTTTTGTTTTTTAAAATTAATTTGTATTTTAAAATATTATTTAATAATTATAATTTAAAATATTTTGAACTGAACAAGAAAATGTCAACTATAATAACAAATGATATGATAGGACTAAAAACAGTGATACAATGTAAATGAAAAAATATATTTAATTTTTTTTTAATTATAAGTTTTATAATTTAAAAAACTAGAGAGAAGTTAAAAAAATAAAAACCTAAAGGCTCTAGCTTCTGTAACTTAACACATGAATCATTTCACATTGGCTCAAATAAAGCCCAAATTACACAGGAACAAAGTCCAGTCCCAATCCCACACATATCAAACTAAGTATTTCTCAACTAGGCTTGTAGTAGGAGTAACATGCATAATTATTTTATATTTTAAATATATTTTATTTTCAATACCGTAATTTTTGTATTCAATTTATGTTTTAATTCAATTCTTTTAACCAGTATTATTATTATTCTCACTCTTAAGAAGTTTTTTTTTCAACATTTATTAAATAAATTTAACTTATTGATGAATTATTAAAAGATTACCTGATAACTATTGTTTAATTAAAATCATTTTTTAAAATATTTATAAATATTAAAATTAATTAATTAATTTAACATGGACAAGGTGATCTTGTATTTAATTTTAACGTTATTTGTTATTTTTTAATATATATATATACATATATATATATATATATATATATATATATATATATATATATATATATATATTTATACATAAAAACATATACCTACCCACAAAGAAATCATAAACATATTTGACCTACCACTGCAACAGGCACCTACAAAGTGTGTGAATCACACCTTACCAATTTTCCTTTTTTTTTTTTTTCTCTATGTTTTTCCTTTTGATTCGATGGTTTTTATGACAAAGAGTTCACGCGACATATGTGACGTTATGGCAACATGCATTTTCCTCCAAAAAGTAATTATATGATATGAATATGACTGTTATTATGGGTAACTTTCTATTCAAATTTCTTCCTTTAATTGGATTTTCTTTGTTGTTTTCCCCCTTTCCTTCGGCAATGGGTTCTTCTGGTGAGCTGTATTGTTTTGTGAAGATTACAGCTAATGCCAACCCTTTCTTGTAGTCACATCTTGTTATCAATTATTTTCTGAGTTTGGTTTCAACTTCTAAGTAAAAACAGTAGCAAGAACAGTCAAAATTTCATTCTCACTTCCAGAATGAGTAATTCGTATGTATATCGATATGGGAATGAGAATCGAAAGATACATATTACCACTAATTAAATAAACACAGAAAGTCCTAAGATTTAACTCCAATCTATTCAGAAATGACAAGGTATTATCTGTCTTTGAATAGGCACTCCACTTTTATAACAAATTGCCAAACATGGGGACCCTGAAGGAGTTAGAGGACAAGTCTATAACTTGAAAAAAAGAAGAGGTAAACAGGTAAAGAGAAAGCTTGGACCTTTATGTTCCAAAAGTTGGCAAAGCAAACACCTTAGGAAAATCTTGCATTAATTTTTGCTGGTGTAGCATAAATGGTGAAGACCCACATGCAGGTTCTACATCTCACAAACCCTGTGTGTCCAAATAACTTTTGAACTCTCCTCGCTCACCTTTAGATAACCGCCACGTGATTTCAGGTTCCATATTACCCCCCCACCCCACTCTCTCTCTACAATGAACTCTCTCATCACCCTTCATCAATCACCAAATTAAAAATGGATTAAAAACCGCTTTCTCGGTTTTCCTGAAAGAAGAACCTTTGTGGCTTTGTCCATTTCTGCACTGCCAAAAATCGTTTCAAAATTGAACAAGAAAGGAAAGAAGCTTCTCTTGACAACAAGTTATTCCATTCCACTCACTCTCCTTCAATAAGGACACACCAGATGAATCCTCTTGTTCTCTTCGTGCCTATTTGGGTGCTAGGCATTTCTCTTTCCTCGCCAATTCTTCATGCTGCAACCTCCATTTCTGTTTCTCAAAATGCACAAGCTGAATCTCCAGGTACTATACCAACAATTCTTTGTTTATTTTTTACCTTCTTTTCTTAGTTTCTGCTCTCTCCGTGCTTGGTAAATGCCATTTATGAGTTAGCATTGGTTTTAAACTCCATAAAATTCTGAACTTCAAAACCCAAACTACAAAACCTCACTGTACTGTTTCTACTTCCTATTTTGTCTGTCATAATGAATTTTACTTGAAGTATGGTCGGGTGTGATTATTTTCTTGACATATACAAGTGTGGTTTCTGAAAAGTGCAATTTTGAAATTAAAGGATAGTAAAATTTCTACTTCCATAAAATTCTGAACTTCAAAACCCAAACTACAAAACCTCACTGTACTGTTTCTACTTCCTATTTTGTCTGTCATAATGAATTTTACTTGAAGTATGGTCGGGTGTGATTATTTTCTTGACATATACAAGTGTGGTTTCTGAAAAGTGCAATTTTGAAATTAAAGGATAGTAAAATTTTCACTTTTGGTGCTCGAGTCCTTGGAAATCATGAACCTTTCACTGGTAGTCTTAAATTCTGATCAAACAAAATTTTTTCCTCAGTTTTGCTCTTCCAGTAGACATGAACATGTTACTTTTGTCTTTAAAGATCTCCATACCAACTTGTTCATACTAGATTTTTTTTTTTTTAATTGTAATTCCCCATCATCGTTTTATTTGAGTTTTTATTTGAGTTTTTATATAAGCTCAGTGTATCGATTTTAATAAGGGTTCGGGAGAAGGTTTTTTAAGTGTCAACAACTGCAATTGTGTCTGCATTTGTCCGTAATTTTCCACAATATCAATAAACATGACAGAAACTGAAATTTAAAACCTTGAAATTAGTGCTTAATGAATTGAGTGTTTTTTTTTTTATGTTGAAACAGGTATTCAGGAGGTTAGAGCAGTGCACCATCAGAATTTGAATAAGGGAATTCTAATTGCATTAGTTGGTTGTTCTGCTCTTCTTGGTGGAATCTTCCTAATCATATTTTGTGTCTGGTTCCGTCGACATAAACACGTAAAATGCTCCAAAAGTAAAAATCAAGAAACCACTGGTATGACTATTTTCTCTGGTGAAACTTTATTTGGGTCTGATCTTTGTTTTAGTACAGAGGTTATGCAAGCATTCCACTCCTCATTCATTTATTTGTTGAACGTGTAGAGGCTGCAAAAGGGGAAACTTTAAGCTCTGTTAATGCTAAGCATAACTACTCTAGGATGGCAGATAAGAAAAGTTCAGTGGCTATTTTTGACTATCAGCTGTTAGAGGCTGCTACAAACAGCTTTAGCACAAGTAATATTATGACAGAGAGTGGTTCTAGGATCGTTTACAGAGCTAGTTTTGACGAGCATTTCCAGGCAGCTGTTAAGAAAGCAGATAGTGATGCTGATAGAGAATTTGAGGTGATGCTCCTTTAGAATTAGATTTGAACATGTATTTCATGGGATATGATATTTCCCTTTATTGAATTCGCCTTTAGTTGTTACACTAAATTGCAGAATGAAGTGAGTTGGTTGAGCAAGATACGGCATCAGAATATCATAAAACTTATGGGTTATTGTATTCATGGTGAATCGAGGTTTCTTGTTTATGAACTGATGGAGAATGGATCTCTGGAAACTCAATTGCATGGTATACTTTTCATTAATGTTGATAAAAAAAAAATCTTATATTGGGAACTTGATGATCATACGTTGCTCATTGGTATCAACAATTGTAGGGCCTAATCGAGGGTCATCTTTAACTTGGTATCTCAGGTTAAGAATTGCTGTTGATGTTGCCAGGTGAATTTATGACACTTATTCTGCATAAAACTAATTTAGTACTCCTTGTCTGATCTCTATTGTCTAATGCATATTTCATCTGTTAGAGCATTAGAATATCTCCACGAGCACTGCAATCCTCCTGTGGTTCATAGAGATTTAAAATCTTCCAATGTTCTTCTGGATTCTAACTTTAGTGCCAAGGTTAGATTGTTATTAACTTATTAATCTTGCATGTTGTCAATTAGTCAATTTAATTATATTATTCACATTCTTTAACCGAGTTTTGTGATTCAGTTGTCAGATTTTGGATTCGCTATGGTTTCTGGAATGCAACACAAGAACATGAAGATGTCAGGAACCTTAGGATATGTGGCCCCTGAGTACATTTCACATGGTATACAAGAGCATTTATCATCATGAACAGACATAACATAAACCTTATTATGCTGTTGCTTCGCTGCTCTTCCTATTTGATCATTTCATTTTTTTTCATTCTATTCCTTTGTTCCGTTTCATTCTATTCCACTTCATTTCTTAAGCATTTCATTATTTTGCATTCATCATTAGATATTCAAGCATAGCCTTAGAAAAATTTAATAGAACCCATGAAGAAATATTGGTAGATCCTAACGATGTCAATTGATTCATGTAGCTGACTACGGCAAGTGAGAATAGTTGTGGTAGTTGTATAATTTGGAAGTACTAGCTTACTTTTGTGGGGGTAAATGGGATACTAGTGGATTGAACTGTTTCCTCATGTAATAGATTTAAGCTAACTGGAAATATGGAGCTCGATCTTTCTCTTTTTCCATTTTTCTTAAAAACGAATGTAACAATAACCAGCTTTCAGGTAAACTAACTGACAAGAGCGATGTCTATGCTTTTGGGGTTGTCCTTCTAGAACTCCTAACGGGAAGAAAACCCATGGAGAACATCACCTCAAACCAATATCAATCCCTTGTATCATGGGTATGTTTTCTCCATGCCTTGTTAGTGGAGAAATCTAGTTCTGTAGTACTTGATGGTTAAAACTTTCAACTTGCAGGCCATGCCTCAGCTAACTGACAGATCGAAGCTTCCAAGTATTCTTGATCCTGTTATCAGAGACACGATGGATTTGAAGCATTTGTATCAGGTTCATTGACTAGAAGCACTGTGATCACAAATTTTGCTGCTTAATGGTAAATGCAACATCTTAAGTTCATGTTAACATTCTACAGGTTGCTGCAGTGGCTGTACTCTGCGTGCAAGCAGAACCAAGTTATAGGCCACTAATAACAGACGTGTTGCACTCTCTCATCCCTTTGGTACCCGTTGAGCTTGGAGGGTCTCTAAGAGTTACAGAACCAATCAGCTCAGAGAATTCTCATTGATATTGGATAACTGTGTTTTCATTTTTCAACTACGATATTCTGCACTTTTTTAACCTTTTATTATTAAAATTATTGTTATTATTACTTTTAAGAGCCAAAGAGGAATATCCAACTGTAATTATTTTTTATTGCGATTTGGTTCTTGTTTTAATCGTACATCATGTGATATTTTTGGATTTATAAATCATTAATTTATTTATCTTAGAGAGGAAACTAACTTAAATTCTTTAGTAACATTTGAACAGAAGTTTAACGTTGAAGGAAAAAAAAATCAAACTTTAAAGTGTTAAAAATGTTCTCGTCAACTTCAATAATACACTAACATATTAAATTATTTTTATCTTAGTCAAATATATTTTTTATCTTTTATATGACTACCATGATTGACTTACAATCAAATATCATTCATGAAGTGGTATTTGCTCATTTTATCTACACAAATATCTTCACAATGGAAAGTGAAAAAGAAAAAGGCAATACTGATAATCACAGCACAGTATAAAAATGTGTCCGAATGACATCAAATATCTAAAAATTAGATTTAAAACAAATCATATTGTGAAACAATCTTCATCATTCAATTTTTCCACTTAATTATCTTGGCATTTTGTCGAAACATTCTAGTAAGAACAGAGCAGGCAAATTTGTTTTCAAGTCAAACTCATGGAAAATAACTAAAACGAGCTATAGAAAATATAGTCCAAGATTGCGCTCCCTTTGTATGTTACCTAAACACAATTTCTTGAGATTCACGATTCTGTGTGCTGAGTACTATAAATTAACCCGCATGCTTAATGATTGGTTTGGTTTCCACAGATATGAACACACTGTGAATGAAAGATTCCTCCAACCATCTTCGAAAGAATCTCATGTTTCTTCGGAATCATCAATTTCAAGGAGTTTCCTCCCTCACTTTCCAACAAAAAATTGCTTACTCAGCTTAAGCATATACTTTATAACTTCTAAATGGATATGATTAGAATATTCATGATAACTAATTTGAAACAATTCTCATTTGAAAGAATCCCTGAAGGTTCTCGACAAATAGCCACTGCCATCATTAAAACATTAAGATAACTTGCACTTGTACATCTAATTTTCATGCAGTACGCAAGATGTTCCTAACAGAATCCACTACAAAAGACCACTCACTCATCATGATTTCATAACCATAACTCATCTTTCACACTCATAACTTAATCAACTCCTCACATTTTTCCTCAATCCTGGTTCACTCTTGAATTCCCTTTCACATTTGTACTGAATGTTTTTCTAGCTCCCTCACTCACACTTGAATTTCATCGATTACCAAGATAAGAGATGATGAAAATCATGCAAGTCAACAAAAGCGTTTAGATGAAGGAATGGAGGATCCTGTATAGTTCCATTCCATGATATAAAATTAATGCATTTTCAAATGTCAGCTTAGTAGGGTATAAATGCAATCTTTGAAAAGAAAACAAGACAAATTTCTATACGAAACAATTGTTACGATACTACCAATGAATGAAATCACTAACAGCCAAGACCTCATATCTTTTTTTTTTTTTTTTTTTTTTTTTTTTTACCACTTTACCTTGATGAACTACTTATACACTCTACCCAGTGAGTTTAGAACAGCTTGCTCCCATTTCTACCTCCTCACCCCCACCCTGCAGTCCCAAGACTCAGGGAAACCATGCCATTTTCAAGCTGGATTTCTGTTAAGAATTCAAAGACCATGCCTCTCCAGATTATCCATCCTGGTGGTCATGTTGAACTCCATGACAGACCAGTGACTGCAGCTGAGATTATGCGCCGCTATCCAAGGTCTTGTGTTACATATCCACATGTGTTCCAACAACCATGGGCAATTGTGGAACCAAATGAAGAGCTTGTGCTGGGAGAAAAGTACTATGTAGTACCAATGAGCGGAATAAGAAAGCTTCAAGGTCTTTCTCCAAGGAGCTCTCCTTCTGCTCACAAAATTACAACCAATTCTTCAGTTGATAAGATTAGAAACACACAATCCAGCAAAGAAAGGGAGGAGGATGGTATGTTTTCCACTTGTTGTGTCTTCAAGAATAAAAGTATTGCCAAAAAACCAAATAACTACAAGCAACATTCCATAAATAATTGTTTTTCGAGCCTGTTTAAAGGAGGCATGACTAAAGCAACTGTTGGTGTTGTGACAAAAGAAATAAGAACATCATCAAACAGAGCTCACCCTACATTAGCTAGGAAGGGGACACAAGATTTGACAGGGAAAGGTTCAAGAAGCTCTCCTAAGAAAGTATGGTCTTCTTCTGACAATTGGCAACCTAGTCTAGAGAGTATCACTGAAGAATAATACAGTGGAAGTCTTGGCTGTTGATGATATCCAATAACCTACTTTTCATTTATTGGTTCTTCACAGCACATCCTATATGCTTTAGGTAAAATAATGCTCCCTCAGCTGCGTCATCTGCTGCTTCTTTCTTTTTCGGACGAGGGGCACCATAACACTCTATTGTGTTTCTTGATGCTTCTATCTCAATAATAACCTTGAAGGTGAACCTGAGACAAACATCAACTAGTCACTGAGAAATAACAAAATGAAAATTTTCAATGATATCTCCTTTAGTTTCATCATGAGTGACAAACAGAAGCAGCAAAATAAATTTAAACATCAAATAAGGCCAATTGTTTCAAGTTTATTCAAATCCTGGATGACCCTTGGTTAAGTAATTGAAAAACTTTAGTGGCAATCAATGATAAACTCAAGAGAAATACAAGCTGGAATGAGAATAATCCTAAGAGCAAGAATGAATTCTTTTATATAAGTTTTGAAGATATACACTTAATTTGAATTTATTTTTAAGAGATCTTTTGTTATGTTTCAATTATTAAGATATTGTTTAAATGGAAAGAAAGATATTAGATTATTGATTAGATTTAGAAAATTAAGATTAAAATATAATTAATATTTAATCTTTTTCGTTATATTTTTGGAATAAAATACTATTGAACTCCATCTCCCATCTGGTGTACAACTAAAATATTATTGAAGTAACTCAATGTAATATATCTCTTATCATTCTGAGATATTTTGAGTAAGAATTCGATCGTTATAAGTTATAACTCCTTCCATATTGTGTACTGTGATCATTCATAATAGAAAAAATTTAGTAACAGGAGAGAAAAAAATAACAACGAAGCTGGTAGACATACATTCTCTTATGACTTGGGCCTTCCACTTTGCAACATTCAAAGATTGGAGTCTTCCAATGATTTGCACCACATATCTCGTACAAATTAGACCTTGCAGTTCCTTTCTTCATACCTTAAATCAAAAGGATATAATCTTAAGGAAGAAGTAGAATTAAAGAGAAAGATAAGACATCCTCCAAATGAGACAAAGCAAGTAAAAAAACAGGAAAACTTTTTGATGGACTAAACTAATAACCCAATTGTTCTCCACCAACAATAATGACTAATGGCAATGCACAGTAATTTTGAAAAAGGACAGAAGATAAGCAATTTATGTGACCTTTCACATTGAAAGAGAAACAGCACCATACTTGAAATAGAAAACAATACAAAAAAAAAAAAAAAGAAGAAGCAATTGTGGTGTGAACCTTTTTCTGTCTGAGGCTGAGTTGAAGAGGTTTTTGCGGTACCACAAGACTCACTCATTTGGTAAGAGATGAAGTTGAAAATGCTTCTCCAATAATGCCACAAGACTCACTCTTTTGGTAAGATGAAGTTGAGGATGCTTCTTCAACTATTATGTTTGGCACTACCGAGGAGGGTTTTTTGACAACGTCTCTATCAGAAAGAACCAAATTACTTTACAGCTACGAGATCTGTTCATCCTGCAAAAGGGTCAGAAGAGAAAGAATTTCTTCCAATCCCATAAAAAGAGACAAAATTTGTATGTACCCATTGTTAAAAAAAAAAAAAAAAAAAAAAAAAAGCGAAAATAGATAAACTTTGAATTAGAGGAAGGGTTGATGATTCGAAAGGGGGTGTTTGAGATTAACAGAAAGTTTTGGCGTGTCCTACGCGATAAACTATGCAGTTTGAAATAACAGAACAAGATTTGAATGAAATAACAGAATAATGCAATGCAAAGAACGAGTGATGCAGTTTCTTATGTATGAATGTTTCTTTTAGTTGCTTAAAAACTATAACAGGAACACTGTTTGTACGTTATACTAAGGTTAAACACATTTTCACGGTGGTTATTTCATATAAGAAATAACACTTTGTTCTTCTGTTAATTTAAAAAAGTCTTTTACACTGAGTTTGTTTCAAGGATAGTAACGTAGTCCAATAAATAAAAAGAAGGATGTGAGTGGATCGATTTTGTTTGGATTTATTGATTTAGGCAAAAACAGGGGAGATGAATGAGTGGAATGATGGAGTAATTCCGTCCCAAAAAAAAATAAAAATTTTGAGAGGAAATATTATATAAATTTATATTTTATCCATTGAAATTTTATAGTTTCTATTAATTCTTTCTATTTTATCATCTATAAATTTTCTTTCATATAACTAATATAATAAATATGAATTAAATTATTTTTTATTATTATATATTATTTTTAATTATTTATACTTATATTAAATTTCTTATTTTTAATATAATTTTATATTAATTATATATATAGAGATTTTTTTTACAATTAAATTACATTATAAATAAAATATGGATCATAAAAAATTGAAAAATATCTGAATCATAAATTTTGAAACACATCTAATCAATTATATAGATGTGAATAATCGATTATAACGTATAAATAATACTTATAAAAAATGTGAATAATGGATTATATTTAAAAATATTATTATTATTATTATATATATATATATATATATATATATATATATATAAAAGTTAAGGTTAATAATATATATTTATAGTTATTAGTGATTTTATAAATTTTTATTATATAAAATTAAAATTATATTTAAATACAATTTTATTTTTTTAATAATGTTATTGATTTTTTTATAAATCTTTTTATTATATTTTAATTTTTTAAGTAGTGTTTAAAATAAATTGGTATACATGATTTTTAATTAATAAGTTATTTTTTAAAATTTAATTTTTTAAAATTTAATTTTTTTAAATTAATTACTTTAAAATAAATTATTTTTTATAAAATAGTTTATATCTATTTTTATTAAATTTTAAGTAAGGATATCTTAGTAATTTAATAAATTATTTTATTAATATTTTTTTAAAATTTTATTATTTATTATAATTTTTTAATTATATTTTATTTATAAAAAATTTGTACTTAAAATAAATTTTTATACGTGATTTTTAATTAATAATTTATTTTTATATAGTTTAAAAAAATTTAATTAATAATTTAAAATTTATTTTTATTTAATTTTCAAATTTTCAATTTAATTACTTTAAAATTACTTATTTTTTTATAAAATACTTTATATTTATTTTTATTAAGTTTTAATTATGAATATTTTAGTAATTTAACAAATTATTTTATTAATATATTTTTTTATTTTTTCAAATCAATTAAAAAGTTTCTTCTCATTTATGTTCACTTTTTATTTTTTTTAATCCAAATTTTTTCAAAATATTAATAGAAAATATTAAAAAAAAATTATGCTTTCTATTATTTGCAGTAATTTATGTATAGTTCCCACGTAGTAAAAAAATCTATAATCAACCTCTTAATTATATTTGATATATAAAATAATATTAATATATTTAAATATTATATACAATATAAATTAATTAACATTCTCATATTCAATTATATCATTATTATCATTTTTACTTAATTTATCTATTTCAATAATAAAAGTATTTTGGTCATTACGAGAAAAATATAATTATGATTTAATTTTTCTATATTCAATCACATCAATCACCTCAAGTATAACAAATATACTCAAGTAAACAACATTTTCAGAACTTAAATCGTCTTTGTGAAACTTTTCCCAAACATTTTAAATGTGAAGCTTTCACTGGACAAAACTTTGCTGATAGGAACACATTTCTACTCTGTTATATATGTATGGAGTGGTTGCTGACCTTTCAACTACCAAATCTGACTTAATACTCCTGCTAAACAGATTGAATATTGGATTCATTCAAACAAAATATGTTCACACATTTTGCTTAGTGCATTGTCTAATGATTTGTTCAATGAATATTGTTCTTATAAGGAAGCCAAAGATATTTGAAATTCGTTGATTCTTAAATACATTACCAAAGATGTCGTGATACAAAGGTTCATTATCAGAAATTATTACTGTTGGGAGATGCTAGAAGACAAGAACATCAAGCCAAATCAACAACTACCACAAGCTGCTTGAAGATATTAAAGTAGAAAATATAGTTCTACCTGATGAGTTCATCTTAAAACTTCTAATCGAAAAACTTCTAGAATCTTGGACAAATTACAAATAACAGCTAAAACACATGCATAAAGAGATGTCACTACCAAATCTTATCGCGCACATCATCATAAAAGACACCAATAGGAAGAAGTATGTTGTTGCAATGACTAAGACATTATCAACTAAAACATATATAGTAGAAAACAAACCAGATCCAAAAAGGTACAAAAAAAACTTGTTTTTGGAAAGTCAAGTCACCATGCACCTCAGTACAGACATAAAATAAGAAACGACAATCCTCATAAGATCAAATTAGCTAAAATAAAGATAAAATTATTGCGGTTGTTTCCCAAATAAATCTTGTGACAAATGCAAACAAATGGGTGATAGACTCTAGTGTTATTAGGTATATTTATGCAATCATAAGTGTTTTTACCTCCTATACTAGTGTGGGAGATGAAGAAGGACATGTTTATCTTGGTGATTCTAGGACAACTCCTGTCCTAGGAAAAGGAAAAGTTCTTTTAAAGCTCAGGAAGACTCTGACCTTGAGTGATGTGCTACATGTGTCATCGATCAGAGTTAATCTAATATCTGTAACATTGCTAGGAAAAGCTAGGGTTCAAGTGTCATTAGAATATAATAAGATTGTTATGGCAAAAAAAATGTGTTTATGGGGAATGAATATTGGTCTTTTTGTACTTAACAGCTCTAAAGTTGTTAATGAATACGGTTCTTCTGCTTATATTGTTGATTCGCATGATGTGTGATATGCTAGATTATGACAGGTAAATTCCTCGTATGTTATAAAATGACATCAATTATGATTAATTAATATGCGTGATAAACAAAGTAGAAAATGTTATATATGTGTAGAATCTAAAATAACAAAAAAGATGTGTCACTCAATAGAACATCAAACTAAACTTTTAGGATTGATTCATCCTGATTTAGTTTATTTAAAACAAACCATGTTTAGAGGTGGTAAAATTTATTTTGTAATATTTATAGATGATTACTCTATATACACAAAAGTATACTTAATTAAACATAAGGATGAAGTATTTGACATGTTCTTAACCTATAAAGCAAAGTAGAAAATCAATTAAACTGGAAAATTAAGAGGATTAGATCAGATAGAGGTGGTAAATATGAATTATTTAATAATTATTGTGTTAAAGAAGGTATTGTTCATGAAGTGACTCCACCATATTCACCTGACTCTAATGGAGTAGTTGAAAGAAAAAAATATAACTCTTAATGACATAATAAATGTCATGTTTATTAGTTCTAGTACATCTGATAACCTTTGGGGAGAAACCCTACTTATAACATGTTTTTTTACAAAATAGGATACCACATAAGAAAATTGGTAAAACTCTCTATGAGTTATAGAGAAGTTATCGACCTAATCTTAAATACCTAAAAGTGTAAGGGTACCTAGCTAAGATAATGTTACCCAATTCTTAAAAAAATGAAATTAGGCTTTAAAACTTTAAATTGTATGTTCTTAGGCTATGCGGAACATAGTGTTGCTTACATAGGTTTCTTATCCTTAAAAGTGAGGTAATTGAGCATAATACTATAGTGGAAACAAAAAATATTGAGTTCTTTAAACATATTTTTCCTTTAAAGTTAGTGAGATACTTAAACAATCTATAGATATTAATAGTGATGATATATATAAGGATTTGAGGACAAGTAAAATACAGAAAGCAAACCTCCTTTGGAAATGATTTTTCCACTTATCTAGTTGAAAATGATTCAATGAGTTTTTTAGAAGCTAGTAGTGCTTCTGATGTAACACATTAGGATAAGGTCATTAAGACTGAAATTGACTAAATCAAGAAAAATAATATTGACCTTAGAAGATTTGCCTAAGGGAGTAAAACTCATTGGTTGTAAATGGATCTTAAAAAAAAAAATATCATCCCGATGGATCTATAGATAAATATAAGACAAGATTAGTAACAAAGAATTTTACTCAAAAATACAACATTGATTATTTTGATATTTTTGCCTTGTAACTAGGATTTCCTTTATTTGAGTTTTGTTAGCTTTAGTCATTATCCATAAGTTAATTATACATCAAATGAATCTTAAGACAACCTTTTTGAGTGGTTTGAACTAGAGGAAGAAATTTATATAATTCAACTTGAAGGGTGTGTTGTTCCTGGTCAAGAGAACAAAATGTGCAAACTTTAATTGTGTCATTATATGCTTATATGTAGATGACATATTAATATTTGGTACATGCATTGACATGGTCTCTAAAACTAAGTTATTTCTGGGATCCAAATTTGAAATGAAAGACA